CAAGCCCCAAACTTAACCTGCATCGGCGTCTGAGGAAACTGCCCCTCCGCCTCATCATACCCCAACGTCCTGACCAACGTTCCCCCAACATACCATTGAATCCTCTGCGGCGTCCAGTCAATAATGTAAGTGATAAACTCCCCCTGATTATTCGGCGCAGGGTTGAACTGCCCCCTGTTATACGTCGTCGTCTGCCCCTTTGAGAAGTAATTCGTCTGCACTTCACTGTCGTCTGCGCCTAGCCATTCGAAATCAATCTCGTCTAGCGTGTCCGACAGCAAGACTAGCGAGGAGACAATCCCGGCTCCGGGGGCGGCTTTCATCGTTACCTCCACCCTGCCAAACATGATGTAGAACAGCGAGGAGAGCTGGGGGGCTTCGCCGGGGCGGGAGACGGAGAAGGTCACGCCGTCGGAGGAGTAGGAGGGGGCGCCGCCGGAGGCGATGAAGGAGTCGACCGAGCCGCGGCGGAAGTCGACGTTGATTGTCATGCCGAGGGCTGTGTTGGCGGGGCAGGTTGCTAAAGGGTTGTTAATGAGGTTGTTTTGGAGGAGATCATAGTGGGAAGAGACTTGCTGTGTAATGGGTTACAATCACTCCATGTCTGTGCCAAAACCCCAGTCACCAGTGCGGTGGAGGCTGTAAGCGCTGTCTTCCATCGTTTGGAGAACATCATCTTGTGTTGTTATCTGCCGGTCTCAGCCGGATCACCCGTCGAAGATGTCGTCAAAATGTAAGGGATAACAATCCACTGGGAGCAACCAGAAAAGAATAAGGTAGTCGAGTCCCGTCAAAAGTATTTCTTGCTGTCTTCTCCCCAACAATGGAACTATAGAAATTATCCTCTTATAGTGAACATCAACAAAAAAAGGCGGGAAGAGAGCAACCTGCAGCTCCCCCCAAAACCAGGCCACTCCCTCGGTTTTATCCATCACCCCCACCACCAACTACCACCACCAACAACCTCCCAAGGAAAGAAACACATCATCCCAACCACCCTCCAATTGTCGTCATCAGTCTCGTCCCAGCACCAAAAAGATAGGGTCCAGCTCAGCAGGGATTGCGGCGCGTCCGCTCGTCTAGTTTTCAGAGGAGGTTGGGAATGTGGATCGAAACTCGGCGAGAAAGTTGGCGGGTGCCCCGGCGCCGGGCACAGAATCGCCCGCCGTGCCCGCCAAGCCATTCATCGGGTGGCTGGTGTGGGCGAGGTCTTGGCGAAACCCACCTTATGCAATCACCAACGGTCAAGCAAGCAAGATCTCGGTACAAGCAACCCAAGCACGACCGGAATCTGTTCTGCTGTCATCAGGCATGGAATCCTTGGCAGAGAATGAAACAATGACTTCACTGAATTCCTGATGTTCAAGCAAGAAACCGCTGCATCGCATCATGATATAATTCAACGCTTCTTTATGCTAACTGTCTGTGGTGTTTTACTCCTTTGGGATCCTTATAGGATATCCATCCCCTTCCTCTCTTTTTTCACCTCTTTCCCCTGAACTCCATTTTGGCCCCATAAACCAACGCCAGTCGCCCCAGACCAGATTGCAAAGTGGGAAACGTCGAAACTGCGCCTCGCCTCAATTGGCGGAAGCCCGTCGTGTAGCAAAGGGGCCAATATGTGGGTAGCCGGACCGTGGTCGTCTGGAATGCAATGCGTGAATATCGTAAAAGGTGGCTTGCAGCGAAGGTTGGCCAAGATATATAGTATACAGCATTAGAATAGATAGATAAAAGGAGCCGATCTTGTACGTGTGCTCAGAACTCCCACGTGTCGTCGTCGCCGACCGACTCAATCGCCCACTTGAACTTGTCGCGTAGCGTCTTGGAGAAGAACTTCTCAATAGGAACGTTGAACTTCTTGGCGAAAACGACTGTGAGACGGGGATCGATGTAGTTCTGGAAGGGACCAGGTTAGTACGAAACATCGAAAACAAGACTTCATTGCGACAAAACTCACGATCTTGGATGTGCCCAGGGCCACCTCCTTGTTGCCCTCACGATCAGCACATTGCAGTTCGAGCGTCTTGATGCGGTCATCAAACTTGCTGACGGCCGCCTCAAGCTTCTCGACGGCGGGGCCCTTGCCCTCGGCCTCCACCTTCTTGGTCTTGTTCTCCTTCTTGTACTTGGCTTCGAGCTCCGCAGCCACCCTGAGGCGCTCCTTGAGCTCCTTTTCGTCCAACTCAGCTTCGCCATCGGCAACGCGCTTCTCGTTGTCCTTCTCAAACTTCTTCTGGATCTTGGTCCTCTGCTCCTCCACAAGGAACTTCTGGTGTTCCAAGAGCCACTCCTGGGTAATGTCCTCGTCGAGTGCAAAGTACTCGGCGCCCTTCTTCTTCTTAAGCTTGGGATCGAGATCAAGCATCATCATCTTGGTGCGCCACTTCTGATACTTGAGGCCCTTGATGCGGTCTGCAAGCTTCTCCATTTGCGCCTCGTGGGCTGCGCCAACCGTACGCTTGTGATTGCAAATCACGGCCACCTCACGGTTGCAATCGTTGTACAGCTTGATCTTCTCAGCCATGGTCCTGTTTTCGACCGAGAGAGATTGAAGAAGTGTTGACATCGTGTGGGAGGCATTGTAGGTACGGAACACCTTTGCTGTGAGGCCGGGCATGTAGTTGGAGAGATGCTTGTTGAGTTGAGAGGTCTGCCAGATGCGTTAGTGACTAGCTGCGGGCCCTTCTCAAAAGCGATCAAAACTTACCGTGAGCCTGTCAAAAATGTCATCACCATCCGCCTTTGGAGGCTTCTTGAACAGCTTCAAGTTCTTGAAGACCTGCCGTTCCACCGTGAACTCGTTGTAGAAGCGGATACTGTCTTTGCCCAGGAAGTCAAAAATAACCGTGTTGGGCTCCCTGAGTGTAACGTGTTCGAACTTGAGCGAACAGCAGCCTACCGTCTCGGCCTCGTTCTCGGTGTCCTTCTCATTGCCAGCTCTGAGCGCAAACTTGTCAATGAGATACATGGCGGTGGCGCGTTGTCGTTCAGCCATAATCTCGGACTTGAGCTCAGCGGTATAGTCGGCTCGGATCCTCGCAATATGCTTGTTGAGCTCGCGAGCCTTCTCAAACTTCTTGTAGTCGGCTTGGCCTTTGACGGTACTGTTGGCAGCCAGCATCACATACTTGTAATTGCCGTTGACGTTCTCCTGCCACATGGCGAGCCATGTCGCCTTGTTATCGTGTTGCACAGCCTTCCACTTGTGTCCGGCCGGCGGATCTGGGACCTTGGCCTCCTTGCCGATGTTGATCGTGACTTGCTCAGGCATGACACGCTTCTTGACAGTGCCGGTTTTGGGATGCTCACCACGGCCACGGAAAAGTCCAGGCGGTTCGACGCGGAAGTTGCCCACCTTTTCTTTCCGGCCATCCCACTTGCAGTACATGTAGGGCGCCTCGAACTTGTCCTTCTCAGCCTTTTCCGCCTTCTTCTCAGCAGCCGGGCGAGCCTTTTTCGCTTCGCTGAGACCCTTGTAGTACTCAAAGATCTTGGTGAAGTCGAGCTTGGCGAACTCTTTGATGTCAACAGGCTTGCCATTCTGGTCTTTGGCACCACCGGTCTCCTTGAGAACATCCCTGAAATCTTTAAAGAAGTTCTTCTGGAAGGTGGGATTCTCGACGTTCTGGGTGGAATGAAGCATCGCACCGAAAAATGTCGCCACCTCCTCGGCATCCACATGCAAATTGACCGGCGTGCCGTCGTATATGAGCTTGACATCCTTGGGGAGAGGCTCGTAGGCGGGCGGGAAGAGGACACCATTGTGCTCCAAGGTGGTCCACTTGATGGAATCATCCTCCTTCTTTGGCGCGTCCCACCACCGATACTCCTCCTCTTCCTCTTCGTCAGCAGCACTGTTGGCCACCGATTCCTCCTTGACCAACCTGCCCTTTTTGGCAGGAGCAGCAGCGGCCTTGACCTTGGCTTTGGCAGGAGCCTCCTTCTTCACCTTCTTGGCGATGGGGGCATCCGAATCCGAATCCGACTCTTCTTTCTTGACGCCGTTGGTCTTTTTCGCGGCCGAGACACCATTTGATTGACGCTTCTTGGGCTTAGCCAGCGGCTCGTCATCCGACTCGTCTTTGATCGCCTTCTTCGCAGCCGGCTTCTTCTTGCCAGCAGACTTCTCAATCGCCGCCTTCCTCTGAGCGATCTTGGTTCCTAGAGGCTGGTCATCATCGGAGGAATCAACCATGGCGGTGTTCTTGATGGAAGGAGGCAACCTGGCGCCATTCTTCTTTCTCGCAATTGGCTCATCGTCACTATCGGAGTCTTCTTGCTTGTGTTTGGACTTTTGACGCTTGGCCTGGGAGATGGTAAGCTAAAGGAGTTGTACACATGATAACCGAGATGACCTACCAGTGGTGCGCCATTGTCACTGTCCGACTCGTCCTTGTAACTGACCGTCTGACCAACAGAGCTGCGCGCTTTCCGCTTGGGGCCTCCGTTGGGTGTGGTGTCGATGTCCATCGCGTTGTCTTCCACAGGGCCGTTGCGAATCGAGACGTTCGGGGGCGCCGGACGGGCCCTGGAAGCGAGTTTATCCATCTTGCGGTCGGTGGCTGGTGAGATCTTGGGAGCGGACTCTGATGGTGAGAATGTCAGTGAGGTTGCTTCTTGCCGTGGTTGTGCTTCGACTGCGCGTCAAGCAACAATAGCATTCAACTGCACGAGGCCTGCAAGAAGGCAGGCGAGTGCAAGCAGTCGAAAGCTCGCGGTGAGGACTGTGCCACGTCAACCTGGCACGAATACCAGGGCGTGTCACAGTGCATACCGTGAAGGGGCGAAAAATTGGTGTTGCAGAGCGAGAGAATATCTCTTCTCTGGCACCGAGTAGTTAAACTTACTGTGACCGTTCGTGCCTGCCAAAGGCCTGTCATCGTCAGAACTGTCGGAAGCCATGATCAAGTTTGATTGCAGAGTTTTGATTGATATTAAAATCGATCGGTCAACGAAGACGAAGCGGAGTTGGCTGGCGAGGAAGGTGCGAAGCGGCGCAGTCGTCAAAGACGGTAGGCGTAGACTGGAAAATGGGCGATTCGCAAAAAGCAAAACTGGCCGAGTCCTGTAAGAAAGGCCGGCTCTCGGAAGGGGAAGGAATGTTGCTCGGCTCCTGAAGGGAAAGTCGGGGGTTTTTGGATGAGGGAAAGACGCGCAGTCGAGGCCTCTGGTCTATAGGGCAAGGCAATGCGTGAGACAGAGAACGTGTGAGGTGAGAAGGAAGAACCAGGCAGGGGAAAAAAGAGGGATTCCACGAGTCCAAGCAGAGCTGGGGCGACAGGACGAGGTTAAAGATAATTATGGGCCACGGGGGGATCCACACTTGGCCAGCCTTGGTAAGGTAGCCTTCTTCGCAGACACGCAGCTCAAGTTTCGTAGCGTGAAGAGAAAAGCAAGCCATGACTAAGCTAGTACCATCTTTTCTGGTGGGGCCCTGAAGAGAGCATCCAACACTGGAATTCCGGTCTCTGCCAGCTGTCAAACACTGGCAAGTCAGCCTCTGAGGTGCCCCGCCCACTGCCGGGAACCCTGGAAACACGGAAAGACAAGCCACAACAGGCTGAGAGGGCGGACGGGAGGCACGAGCAGGAAGCGGGATGGGGTGTGGTCCGTGTGGAGCCGAAGCTCAGCAAACCTCTCACGCCAATTGCACCTCCGATCGATTGAGCCACAACCTCCCGCTGCTGCTGCTCAATTGACGCCAGCACATTTATCGTGGTCAACCGGGGCCACAGCCAGCCAGCAGAGAACTATCCCCAGATCCTTTCGCCATGCTGTCAAGAGCTGCCCGTCCGGCTTTGAGAGCCGGCGCTGCCGCCTCCTCCCGGTATGTTGCAAATGCCTTTCCCTGGACTTTTTCGTCATGCCCCGAGCTCCCTAGCAAAAGCCGTCGAGAGGCCCGAGCAGCACCGACAGCACAACAACACACGATATATTTCGGTCTGGTGGAGAGAGAGCATCTCCGGGTTGGGGAAGATGGCATAGATGAAGACGGAAAGAAAAGAGGACAATGCAGCAAGAACACAAAATACTAACCCACGGTTGCGACATGCAGGGCTGCTGCTCCGGCCGCCACCTTCGCTACCCTCCGTGAAATCGAGGGCCGCCTCAAGTCGATTCGCAACATCGAGAAGATCACCAAGACGATGAAGATCGTTGCCTCGACCAAGCTCAACCGTGCCCAGCGTGCCATGACCGAGTCGCGCAGCTACGGCGAGACCAGCAACAAGGTCTACCAGTCGGCCGAGACAAAGCCCCTCGAGGGCGAGGGCAAGAAGAAGCTCGTCGTCGTCTGCAGCTCCGACAAGGGTCTTTGCGGTGGTGTTCACTCTGGTCTTGCCCGCTTCATCCGCCGAAGGGCTGCCACCGAGGGGGACAACTTCGACCTCGTCATCCTCGGCGAGAAGGCCAAGGCCCAGCTCTCCCGTACGCATGCTAAGAACATCGTCCTGAACTTCTCTGGTGTTGGCAAGGACGTCCCCACCTTCACCGAGGCTCAGTCCATCGTCGACCAGATCGTCCAGCTCCAGGGCGACTACTCCGAGGTTGAGATTCTCTACAACAAGTTCATCAACGCCACCAGCTACGAGCCCACCATCATTGAGGGATTTTCCGAGGAGGCCTTTGCCAACTCCCGTGCGTAGACCTTGTCTCGATGCATGAATGTCTTGATGAACCTCTGGCTAATTTTTGCTGTAATAGCCAACTTTGCCGCTTTCGAGGTCGAGGAGGGTGTCCTTCCCAACCTCCGCGAGTACACCCTTGCCAACTCACTCTACTGGGCTCTTGCTGAGGGTCACGCTTGCGAGATCTCTGCCCGCCGCAACGCCATGGATGTAAGTTTTTGTTTTACTCATACGAGTTTCATGAACTGGTATCTGACCCACCCGTCACAGAACGCTTCCAAGAACGCTGGTGAGATGATCAGCAAGTACCAGATTCTCTTCAACCGCACCCGCCAGGCCGTCATTACCGGCGAGTTGGTTGAAATTATCACTGGTGCCACCGCCTCTGCGGACATGTAAATTGCCGTTTAGTGTCAAAAAAGCGGTTCTTTGCGTGATAGAAGCTCGCCTTTTTCTTCCCATCATCAACCATACACCGAGAGTGAGCAGGAAAAAGAGATGTGGGGCAAGGGAGGGCAGTTGTATTCCCTTTGTATAAACTAGTTCTGAGAGAGTCTCACTTGACGTATCGCATCGTGCGAGCACTGCCGCTGGCCTCCTGTGTACCAACCAACAATCCACCCCTAAAACGTAGTCTTTTGCTGTGTGTCAGCTGGGCTTTATCGCCCGCTTGCGCTGTTGTTGTGTGCCGTCTATAAGCTTTCCAAGAGTCTACCACTTGGGGAAGAATAGTATAGTCCCTGATAAGTACTGCTACCTGTTGCCCCTTTTCTAGGTGTGCATGGGCCAAGCGTAAACTTGATCTGGAGCACCATCCATGGACTTGCTTGCTCTGAAAATTACGTGATAACAAACAAGAACGATCAACAAAACCAGTATATTTGTGTTGCTTGACACACCTCCAAGGTTATTGCTCTTCATCCTGATCCCAAACATAGATTCTCTTGAACTATCCCCCAAAAGCTAGGTAATGAATAGGTTCCCTTGCTCCAGCATCTCTTTCGCCAGTAAACCGCCCAGACCTTAAATGGGAACAATATTCGGACCCATAGCACTATATCTCACTTGTTAGCCATCCCAGTCACGCTCACCACCACAACAACATCAAAGAGAGCAACCCACCTAACCCCCCCATCAACAACCAAACTCGCCCCCGTAACATAACTCGAAAACCCACTCGCGAGAAACCCAACCACCCTCGCGATCTCCCTAGGTTTCGCAGCCCTCCCAAGCGGCACATCATCCCTCTCCTCCCCCCCTTCCCCGACAAAACCAACGCAAACCGCGTTCCCCCTCACCCCCGTCCCCTTCA